ATAATAATAATAATAATAATAATAACAGAAATAAGGTGATAAAGAGGAGATGAGAGTGGAAGAATAGGAAGAACAAGAGAAGAGAATTAAGGAGGAAGGGTGAGAGAAATAAGAAATAGGAAGTATATGAGAGGGATTGGGAGGGGATGAAGAAGAAAATAATAGAGAAACGATTATAGACGAGAGAAATAAGATACGAAAGAGAGAGAGAGAGAAATGAGGGATAAAGGGGGGAGGGAGGAGGAATGGATAGAGAGGGAGGGAAGAGGGAGAGAAACAAAGAAAGAAGTGGTGTAGAGAAGAAAGGAGGAGATAGAGAGAAGGGAAGAGAAAGAATAAAGAGGAAGAGAGAGGGTCGAAGAGAGGGTAATATAATATAATGGTTTATAGAGAATAAGGGGAAGCAGAGGGAGACAGACTAATGAGACAGACGATGCAACTGACGGTTATTGATAATGTTGCAGAGTGACCGACACGGATGGTATTGCCGTTCAACACATGATGACGACTGCTGTGTCAATAGCGACTGAGGACCACGGATGGATGCAAGTCTACCCTGGCAGGCGAGAGTAGCAGCGGTATACAGTCACACGCACACACACACACACACACACACACACACACACACACACACACCTGAATTATATCTCGTTTTAAAATACAATGTTGATGTTTTGTAAATTTATTGTTTATTATTATTATATTTACGTCGTTTCCTTTTATATAGTGGCCGGCATCAATGGAAGAGACCCCTCTTTCCTCTCTTCCCCACCCCTCATCTTTCTCCTTCTACCCCCTTCCTACCCCCCTCTCTCTCCTTCTTCCTCTCTTCTCCTCCTACCCCCCTTTCTCTCTCTCTCTCTCTCTCTTTTCTCCTTCTTGTCATTCAAGGTTAAGTGTAGTAATAAGGGGAGCTCTACTCTGGGTCCTCCCCTCCCATAATATGACCCCACTACCCCTATCTGACTCTATATCGCCTCGCTCATAGTAAGGTTGGGAGTGATACACCCTGAACTACGTGTACTGTGCTTCTGTTGCAGTGTTTTAAAAGATGAATTGATGTTATTTATATGGTTAGGTTAGGTTAGGTTAGGTTAGGTTAGGTTAGGTTAGGTTAGGTTAGGTTAGGTTGGCATACACTTGAATATGATGAGGTGAGACGTGGTGAAAATATTAAGACACTCGCCTCACACTCTCCTGACCAAGGTATTTCCGGTTCCCATGACGCTGTTGGTTAAGTCCCTCGTGTATAATGAACCTCGGGCGATTCCTGCTTCCTGAAACTCAATGTTCTCACTTACTCCCCATGACTGTACCTCCTGAACACCTCCTCAACGCATCCTCGTCCACACCACCCTCCAACCTCCCACACACCCCACCTGCCTCCACCTCCACGACCTGCCTCCCCACCTCCACCATCGCCTGCCTCCCCCTCACCACCGCCTGCCTCCCCCACACCTCTCCTGCCTGCCTCCCCACACCTCTCACCGCCTGCCTCCCACACCTCTCCCTGCCTCCTCCCACCTCACCACCACCTGCCTCCCACACCTCCCACCGCCTGCATCCCACACACCCCTCCACCGCCTGCCTCCCACACACCTCCATCACCTGCCTCCCAACACACCTCACCACCACCCTAACTCCCACACACCTCTCCACCACCTGCCTCCCCCACCTCCACCCCACATCCCACACCTCTCCACCGCCTGACTCCCACACCCCTCATTACTACCTGCCTCCTGCCTCCCCCACCTCACCACCACCTGACTCCCACCTCACCTACCTGCCTCCTGCCTCCCACCACCCTCCTACCACTCCCCACACCTCCCTACTACCTGCATCCTGCCCCCCCTCACCACCACCTGCCTCCCACACACCTCCATACTACCTCCTCCCTCCCCACACCTCACCTTGTCCCCCAACTCACCGCCTCCCCACACACCTCCTCACATCTGCATCCCACCTCTCACCGCCTGCCTCCCACACCTCTCCGTCACCTGCCTCCCACACCTCTCCACCGCCTGCATCCCACACACCTCACCACTACCTGCCTCATGCCTCCCACACCTCCTACCACCTGCCTCCCACACACCTCCACCACCACCTGACTCCCCACCTCTCCATCACCTGCCTCCCCCCTCCTCCACACCTGCCTCCCCCACATCCTCCCACTACCTGTCTCCCCACCTCCCCACCTACCTGCCCCATGCCTCCCACCTCCACCTGCCTCCCCACCTCTCCATCACCTGCCTCCCCACCTCCCACCACCTGACTCCCCACCTCCTCCCACCACCTGCCTCCCACACCTCCTCCCACCGCCTGCATCTCACACCTCACCACTACCTGCCTCATGCCTCCCCACACCCTCCACCGCCTGCCTCCCCACACCTCCCACCACCTGGCTCCCCACTTCTCCATCACCTGCCCCTCCCCCCTCTCCACCACCTGACTCCCACACACCTCTCCACCACCTGCCTTCTCAACACCTCCTGGCGGGTTTCGACACATCCTCACTGATCCTGAGACACCTTCCTTCATTTCCTGGTTGGTCCTCACGGATATGTGTGTGTGGAGAGAGAGAGAGAGAGAGAGAGAGCACCGGCCTAACAGGGGACACACGCCCAGCTAATTCTGACGTTAATATGTTTATCGCCAGCCAGAATCCTGTAGTTGTGGAAGGGTGTGGGGAAAGAAAGGTGTGTGTGTGTGGGGGGAGAGGAGGGTTAGTTGGTGCGCAGGTGTGGGAGGGTGAGACTTGTGTGCAGTGCGTGTAGGATGAAAGCGAGTTGTGTGTGTGTTTGTGTGTGTTTGTGGGGGGGGTGGCTGCGTATGTGTGTGTGTGTGTGTGTGTGTGTGGAGATGAAAGAAAGTTGTGTGTGGGGATGTGTGGACGTGTGGCGTAATGAGAGAGGCAAATGGAGGAGAAGGGTGTGTGTGTGTGTGTGTTGTGTGTGTGTGTGTGTGTGTGTGTGTGTGTGTGTGGGAGAGGAACGAAGATAGGAAGAAAAGGAAAGGAAAACAAGAAGGAAGACGAAGGAAGAGGAAGGAAGAGGAAGGAAGAGGGAAAAAAGAACGAAAACGAAGAAACGGAAGGAAGGGAAGAAGTAGGAAGGAAGGAAGGAAGGAAGGGAGGAAAAAAAGAAGGAAGGAAGGAAGGAAGGAAAGAAAGAAGGAATGAAGAAACTAGAGTAAAGAAGAACATAAGCACCTGACTGACAGCACCATGGGAGAATCGAAGAACAAGACGTTAAAAGTGACACACGTATACTTCTTGACACAAACACACAAGAATAATTGGAAGGCAACTGGACTGAAAGGGGACAAAAATACCATCCCAGGAGGTCCTAATTTTCCTTTCACTTGCGTTAATTCCCAGAGAATTAACACAAATGAAGCGCTTGTGTCTGGTGCAGTGAGAAGCAGGGCGGGGAGCATACCGAGTGAGACACACGCTGCCAGGGAGAGTGTAGAGACAGGGAGGAAGGAGGAGGGTGGGGGGAGAGGGAGGGAGGGAGGGGGGTGAAGGGGAGTCATAAGAGAGTGTGAGAATGAGGGAGTGAGTGCGGGAGTATGAAAAGAGGAAGAAGAGACAGAGAGAGGGAGTGAGGCGAGGAGAGGGAGGGAGTGGGAGTAACATGAATGTAGAATGTGAGAGTCAACAGAAGGAGAGTGAGGAGGGAAAACGAATGTAAATAAAAGAGAGAGAGAGAAGATACGAGGTAGATAAAGCAGAATATGGGAGGAGGAGGAGAAAGATAAAGAAAAACAAGTGAAACGAAATTATACGAATTAATATATAAGGGAAGAGCAGTTTATTACTCAGGTGTCAAGAGAGCCAGCGATCATTCACTCACTTAAGATAAAGCCTTTAAAAGCTATCCTACAGCCCGAGACTCACACCAACCTGAAAAAAAAAAAGCAAATAAAATCCACTACAGATTTGTGTTGAGTAGAATGACATAATACAACACTCTTTTGTTTTTGTTCTTACACATTATAAAATTAAAGTGTTTTATATAAGGCTACCTGCAGTGTCTGTCTGTCTGTTTCTCATTTCTGTCTGTCTGTCTGTCTGTTTCTCATTTCTGTCTGTCTTTCTGTCTATCTGTTTCTCATTTCTGTGTGTCTGTCTCTGTCTCTTTCTCATTTCTGTCTGTCTGTCTGTCTGTTTCTCATTTCTGTCTGTCTTTCTGTCTATCTGTTTCTCATTTCTGTGTGTCTGTCTCTCTCTCTTTCTCATTTCTGTCTGTCTGTCTGTCTGTCTGTCTGTCATATCTGTCTTTCTGTGACACTCAATTCTGTCTGTCTCTAATTTCTGTCTGCCTGTCTTTCATTTCTGTTTGTCTGTCGGTCTTTCAAATCCGTCTGTCTGCCTGTCTGTCTGTCTGTCTCTCTCATATCTGTCTGTCTGTGTCTCTCACTCTCTCTCTCTCTCGTATTTAAGGATTTTATTAAAGAAATATTTTACTATATGTGGATTAAGTCATCTAATCGGGCTTAATCCAGCCATTTCCTATATCCCTAAACCAGGCAGCTATCTAAACCACCAACACACTAACCCCGAACACACGAGCTAATCCCTAACACTTGGATTAATCCCCAACGCACGTGAACTAATCCCCAAGACACTTCACTTGGATTAATCCTAACACAGGTGAACTAATCCCCCAAGACACTTCACTTGGATTAATCCCTAACACACTTGAAACTAATCCCTAACACACATGAACTAATCCTAACACATGAACTAATCAGCAAATTTGGATTAATCCTAACACCTGAACTAATCCTAACACACTTGAAACTAATCCCTAACACACATGAACTAATCCCTAACACACATGAACTAATCAACATTAGGATTAATCCCTAACACACATGAACTAATCCCTAACACACTTGAACTAATCCCAAACACAAATGAACTAATCCCTAACATAAAAACTTATCCCTAACACACTAGGACTAATCCCTAACACACATGAACTAATCCCTTACACTTGGTTTAATCCCTAACACACTTGGGTTAAACCTATTACTTGATAAATCAGGAGTAATCTCAATCCTTGCAAATACTCGGTAAATACAGATTTGATTTAGTGTAGTGTAGTCATTAATTATGGCTCAGTGGAGCGCGGGAGACTGTCTTCCTCCTCTTGTTCATTGTCTTCGTGTTCTTTGTTTTCTTGTTCTTTGTCTTCGTCGTGTTCCTTATCTTCTTTGTTTTCGTGTTCTTTGTCTTCGTGTCCCTCGTCTTCGCATTCCTTATCTTCGCGTTTCTTTTCTTCTTCTTTGTCTTCGTTTTCCTTTTCTTCTTTGTCTGCGTTTTCCTTGTCTTCACGTTCCTTGTTTTCTTCTCTGTCTTTATCGTGTTCCTTGTCTTTTTATTGCTTATCTTCCTTTTATTCCTTGTCTTCTTCTTGTTCCTTGTCTTCTTCTGTCTTCGTGTTGTTGTCTTCTTTTTGTTCCTTGTTTTCTTTGTCTTCGTGTTACTTGTTTTCGAGTTCCTTGTCTTCGCATTTCTTGTTTTCTTCTTTATCTTTTTCGTGTTCCTTGTATTCTTGTGGTTCCTTGTCTTCTTCTTGTTCCTTGTTTTATGCTTCTTTTTAACGTCGCATCCCTTCTCCCCATTACCAACGATTCCCTTAGCATTATATTCTAAGTAATAATGATAATAATGACATACACAACAACAATAATAATAATAATAATAATAAAAAACAATATCTCTATTCTCACTCTATTTCACATATATGTAACACACACAGATTAAAAAAAAAAGACGATTATTGTTCACAGAATTAATGTCAACTCCACCCATTAGTTCCTCTCCGCCTCTGTAATCTAGTAATGTTTTCCTTAATACCCACGTGTTAGTTAGTAGTGCTTAAGGGCGTTGTACTAAGTCCCTTTGGGTTTTTTTACAGAATCCTTTGATGTTTGGGTTTATTGAATCCCTTGATGTTTGTGTTTATAAAATTCAGTGATGTTTGTGTTTACAGAATCCTTTGATGTTTGGGTTTATTGAATCCTTTGATGTTTGGGTTTATTGAATCCCTTGATGTTTGTGTTTATAAAATTCAGTGATGTTTGTGTTTACAGAATCCTTTGATGTTTGGGTTTATTGAATCCCTTGATGTTTGTGTTTATAAAGTTCAGTGATGTTTGTGTTTACAGAATCCCTTGATGTTTGTGTTCTTTAAATCATTTGTTATGTGTTTATTGAATCCTGTAATAATTATTTTAGTAGCTAACTGTTATAATGTCATTGTGGTATAATAGACACCCAAGTTACTGTGTCTTCTCGCCTTAGACCCGTGTTGTACTGCCGTCTCTTGGGGGCGTGGAGGCCGGGAATTGGTTAAAACATTTCCGTTTGCATTTTGGAGGTCACACACTTGGACTGCTGTGAGTGAGGGGATATTGAGTAGTATATTGGGGGTGTTTTACATACATACATACATACATACATACATACATACATACATACATACATACATACATACATACATACATACATAGTGTTCGTAAAGTCCAATTCAGCAAAACACAACCATTAAATAATTGGAACGTAGCAAGAGGAAAGAAGTGAGAGAGGATGGAGAAAGAGGGACATAGAGGGAGGTGTGATGATGGATGATGATGATAATGATAATAATAATAAATAAATGTTTATTCAAAAGCATAGCAGCCAGAGGTTGGAAATATACAATAGACAAAATAATGACTTACAGTATTAGGTATGGGAATGTTTAACAAAAGCTTTCAGTACAAAAAAGAAGACATTGAGTTAACATACAGGTTATATACGAGTTACTGATTCAATTCAATTCAATTTCAATTGTTTATTCCTTGATAGAGGAAGCGGGATCCTAGTGCTGTCACTAGGTACCCCTGTACAATGGCACCATAAGCATCTGGCAAGTGTGACAAGTATATACAGTATAAATATTATAAAGGGGCTTACTAAAGCTTAAGGAAGGAAGGATATTCCTTTAACACATAATCAATGTTATTTACAAAATATCTGGCCAGTATTGGGAGGATCATCGTGTCTCCGTCAGGGGGTCGTGGAGTGGTGGTCCAGCAGGCGTCACGGAAGCGTTGTGTGTGGGGACATCTTAGGAGGTAGTGGATAAGGGTGCTGCTGTCGGGTCTTCTGCACAAAGCACAAGAGCGTTGCTCGGAGGATGCGGGGATACCAATCTCCCAAGCCAAGTCCTACCCAATGATGATACGGGTAGCAATCACGTCCCCTTTCCGCGACCCTTTCCCATAGACGTACGAGAGGTCAGAGTTACTGATTATGTTTTGTTGCAGAGGAAACCCGTAATTATAGGCCTGCCTCGTTGGTGTGTGTGTGTGTAATAATAATAATAATAATAATAATAATTAACGGTTTATTGAAAGAGCTTGGCAGCCAGAAGGCTGAAAATTTACAGTTACATATTTGGGGAATGGGTTACGAATTACAAATAATATACAAGTAACATAAGTGACACAAATAAGACATATAATAACTTAGATGGGGATCAGCTCAAACTACAGTTCATTTCAACATAGTGACAGTGTAAGGAGCAGTGTTTACCGGGAGTGAATACACTGATTTATTACATGTTATTGATAATTTTTACAATGGTTGGGACTGGGCTGTTCTTATAGCGATCAGTTCGTGCACGTATGGGCTGGGTGCGGTTGTGTGTGTGTGTGTGTGTGTGTGTGTGTGTGTGTGTGTTTGTGTGTGTGTGTATTACCTTACGACAAGTTGCCTACATTGGATTAATTTTGCACCAATATTAATGGTTGACCAATCAAAGGGCAGAGTGTCGTCAGTCATACATGCCAGGCTTAACACTTTCATTTGTGTCTGGAGCTAAAGGGACATGATTAACGTCAGTAGCCGGTCAGAAAGATTGTGAACTTCAATTAGTATTGAGTAAAGGTTTGGTCTTATCATTTTTTCCTCATTTTCTACACCTCGTTATGTAAACCTGATAAAGAAAATGACACAGGAGAGCCCTTCAACACAGCAACTAATTCAACAATAATTGGGAATATACAAATAAAAAAAAAATTAATCAACACATCGCGATAATTACATTACCGATGCACACACAGCCCGCCAGCCAATTAGCAGGTAAAAAACAACCTTTTTTTCTAATCAACAACAAAAGTACGAAAGGCTTACAATTACAGAGAAAAATCACCTTTACAACTCTACTACAGTAATACAAAATAGTTACAAAACATTACTAGTTTGACGAGGCCTCGATAGGTTCAGCTAAACCAGGGGTCACCAAACTACGGCCCGCGACGTCAGTTCATCAGGCCAGCCGACGGTACTTGAATTTGCTTGATAAAACGTATGGAACTTGGAAGTATTGAACAGAATGATTATGCGGCCCGCGCTCGTCATTCTTTCAGTTATCCGGCCCACTGTGAAAAAAGTTTGGTGACCCCTGAGTTAAACGAATAAAATACAGCCAGTCACCATCTCAACAATTCAATGTTGTCTTATAATGTACAGTATACTATTCTTTCCTAAAACCAAATTATTAGATGAAGTTTTTAAACAATACACACGAAACACACAATCGAGCTATAATTCAACTCGCCAAACACATACTGTATATTCAGTTTCAGTCACCTATTCTCAGTTTCAGTTATCTATCACTTTGCTTCAGTCATAGCTAGTCTCAGTTTCGGCCACATACAGTATATTCTAAGCTGCCTGACACGAGTACAATAGGTAACTCGTGACAAGAGGTAATTTATGCATACATAACCTCCCCCTTCCCTCCCTCTCACTCACCCACTCCCTCCCTCTCACTCACCCACTCCCTCCCTCTCACCCACATACTCCCTCCCTCCCTCTCACCCACACACTCTCTCCCTCTCACCTACACCCTCCCTATCACTCACTCCCTACCACTCCCTTTCACCAACACGACAACAGTAGCGAAATTCGATGACTATTGAGAATTTGTCTCGTCGTGAACAACAAAGGGGGAATCGTAAACTAACACTGGCTACTAACTTAAGGGAAATTCTCGCCCAGTCGATCAACGAGTCAGTCAGTTACAGAAGATAGACTGCCAATCAACCAGTCAGTCTGCCAACCAGTCATTAAGTATTAGAACTCAGAGAGCTGGATGGTGCAGTTAAACAATTTTTTTTGTTTCCTTGAGTTACAGTCACAATAAGGTGAGCATCAAGGCCAAGGCATAACAAAATCGTAAGCTACAGAAATAATAATAATAATAATAATAATAATAATAATAATAATAATAATAATAATAATAATAATAATAATAATAATAATAATAATAATAATAACAACAATAATAATAATAACAACAACAACGAAGCATTAGCCCCGAAACTTCACCTTCAACAAACCACCTCTCACAGCGGCTACAAACACAGAATTCCAAAATAAGCCGAATACAGAAAAAACTACACCTTCCCTCCCTCTCCCCCACCCCATCTCCCTCCTTAACCCCCACCCTGTCCCCCTCCCCATCTCCCTCCCTCTCCCCCACCACCATCCCCCTCCCTAACCCCCACCCTATATCATGTCGTCCTCCTCTTGCTCCTGTATATAACATTCTTGTCACGTCGACGGTGTGGATAGGGACATTAATCACTGATAATAAACATCACACTAACAGCCACTTAAAGACGTTAACAAAAGAGAATATATGCATGGAATCTTACTACCTTGTGGACGCTGGTGAAGGTGTTCCATGCGCTAGTTTGTAAAAGGACACGGCGAGTTTTATGGTGTGTGTGTGCGTGTGTGTGTGCGTGATGGTGTGTGTGTGTGCGTGATGGTGTGTGCGTGATGGTGTGTGTGTGTGTGTGTGTGTGTGTGTGTGTGGTGAGGAACTTTCTTGACCTACTGTGTGTAAACTGAATGGCTTGTATGACCCACTGTACCCACTGGAGTAATACAAGGGGGTGATTCTTGTACCCTTACTACAAGTATTACAGTCCTGTAGGCTGACTCAAACCATAAGTTAATGTTAAGTACACGATGGTTCTTACATGTTAACTCTGAATTATAAGCAGATCTTGGTAATACATGCAGTCTCGAATCTAAATGCGATCTCCAAATTATAGCAATCTAAGAATTATATGCAGATCTTAAGATTGTATACAGATCTCAATTATATGCACATCTCGGAGTGATATACACATTTTTATCTTTATGTAGACCTCGGATTACTAAACACAATATGGAGATCCCTCAGCATAGGCGACTTTTTAAAACAAAGACTAGAGACTAATTTATAATGGCAGACAGTAATTTTGATGCATTAATTAAAAATATCCGTAATCAAGTTAACGCATCATTAATTACCGCTAAATTATAGCGCTCAAATTA